AAAAAATGCTACTTTGCGACGTTTCATAAATCTCACTAGTAACTTGCAAAGGACGTAGGTTTGAACTATTTATATTTATACCGGTTTTTATATCATTACGTACATATTTATTATTAAAATATATTAATTGATATATTCAATAGATTCAAATAATGTCTTTCCTATTTCATCAAATTAAATTATCTGTGTGTGCGTATATTTACAATTCTTTAATGTACTTACTAAGTGGCTTTCAAAGTGGCATGTATGTATGTGCTAGTTCTGGATTTGTTGTATAAATTCAATTGTTTACCACTGCTATATACTTAACGATTACATACATATGTATGTATTTTAATAGAACTTAATGCAGCAAAATATCGATAGTTGCACATTGCTTCACATTACTTCAAAAAGCGCATATACATAAATATAATTTGTATGTATGAATACTAAGATTTATAATTTCCCTAAAGAACTAAAATTGTCTGGAATCAACAAATAGCACTGTAATTAATTGGAGTAGGTCTTGCTTATCCATTTCAGCAATTGCTCTACGAGATCTTGGCGCGGTAAACGGAAATCAGCGTAGGTTTGAATTGCAGGCTCGGCGGAGATGCGGAATGATTTACCAGAGCCTTGCAGCGCCTGAAAAGAGTGGTAAGAAGTGTTAAGTGTTTTCTTTTTTTATTTACAAAACTATGGTTTAATATGCGTGTAATCACCCGCATGGCATCCTCATCGGTGTTGTCATCGCCGGCAAATATCACTTTAATCTCTTCAGCCCAATTGCTGCCGAATTTGTTCTTCAATATCAGCAACGCTGCTTCGCCTGTGTTACAAGAGGAAGTTTAATCCCAGCTCGTAAATTAAGGGCAATATATCCTTCACTCACCTTTGTTCCAGTTCACTGGCGGCTTTGCTTCGACCGCTGCGTGCGCTGGACTCGCACGGAAGCCATGTGACTCAATTATGCGCGTAGCGATCTTTCTTTGCTGTTCAGCCAAATTCGCAGGCACATCGCGGTAGTGATAGGTCAGCGATAATCTCTTGTCCTCCACCCAAGCGCCATTCTTTTGCACCGTATCGGAGAGTTCCCTCACCATAGTGGTGTAATGTTTTTGTACCTCGGGTGCCAGCTCGTAGTCGTAACGCGTGCCATCGCCAGTTTCAATTTCCAAGCCATGATTGCCTGCATAAGTGATGCCTTTGATGCCGATACGCGATTGCACATTGCGTAGCCCACGTCCGGAGATGATGGCCAAAAATACTTGCGGGTGCACGGCTAGTTTATTGAGCATTTTTTCTATTTCGACTGTCATGAAAGTTTTGTCGGGATTATCAGCAATAGCTGCCAGTGTGCCATCGTAGTCCAGCAGTAACGCGAGTGGGGTTTTTGCATTTAAATAACTGTAAAGATTTTTTTTTCAGAAAAAAAAGAGAAACATTTCTAATTTAATTTTGGTTTTTACCAAACGCAGCACAGCATAACTTAATACATAACTACTTATGTAGACAAGGAATTCGTTTTTTTTTTGTTATCGACTATTTTCTTCTATCATTTCTTTATTTATTATTATGCTCTATATTTTCATATCTATATTTACATACATCTATTTATTATTATGATCTATATACATATACAGTGCCGGCCAAAAGGATTGACTCATAAAATTTCTCCCGATGTATTCCAGTTTTTTATTCTAATTTCCTTTTGGTAATTTTTTATAAAAAATAAAGTTCATACAACAACAAGAAACATAAAAATAAAATCTCTTAGCCTCTGGCAAATCTCAGAAAAATTCAATAAAGTTGCAATTTAACTTTATTATCAGATTCTTTAGAAAATTTCTTTGCATGCAGTTGCATTCAAAGTGCAAATTTGAAGTTGCAAAAAAATCGCGTTGAGGTTTTACACTTTTTTTATTATTTTCTTCCATACAAAAAAAAAAATCTAATAAACTTCGTTAAAAAGATTTATAAAAAAACAAATTAGAAAGCTGCAAATTAGTACGAAAATCTATTGCATATTCCCTTGTTTTGCACAAAGTTTAGACACTTTATTTTTATGTTTTTTGTTATACTACGAACTATATTTTTATAAAAAATTATCGAAAAGAAATTAGAATAAAAACTTGGAATACATCGGGAAATATTTTCTATGCTAATACTTTTGTCCGGCACTGTACATATGTACATACATCCATTCATACCATATTTTCTAGAAATATAGTTTTTTTTTTGTATTTTTGGTTTATACATACTTCTAATTTATTTTCTTAGTCGCTACTCGATCACTTTGCTTTCCAGCGACTTTTGTTTATTGTTTACTCTATGTCTCTCTTTGTGATAAACAAAGTGACAAATAAAAAAATATGTATGCCATTGACCGTAGGAGGTTGCACTCCTGAACGGCTACTAGATATATACATATGTGTGTATATGTACATTATTGTGCGCCTTATTTGTAGAAAGATTTTTTTTTAAGCTTCAAAGCAAGACTCACCCCAGAAAAATTTTCAAAATCGTATCGGAATGGCATTCGAATCTTTGACGTTCTGCGAGCTAATTCATAAGAGCAAGCACTGCTGAACACTTAGCTACGGCCAAGATTAAATCAATTTGATTTAATTTCCAATTTGTTAAAAAAAAACTATTAAAGAACGTAAAATCGCTAAAACCTATCGTAAGAACCAAAAACAACTCTGTTTGAAAACAAGTATGTAGTTAAAATATTTTTAAGACCAGTTTTTATTAGTGGTAATAAAAAACATTATCCCCCCGCACTACCTATCGCCTAATTTTTTCTGGGGAGTTATTTATTTCTATTTGAGTAATATTCGTTCTAAATATAAAATAAATCAGACCATAGATGTAGGTTTTCGAAATATATCGACCCCGGCGCCACCTAGCGGGTTAATTACTCTTTCATAAGCTAAGTTTGAATTTTCCTGTCTCTAGCTCAACGAGAAATTGATTCAAAACTGATTGCAAGATTTGATTACACATAGAAGAAAATTAATAAAAGCTTGTAAAATCATGTTACGTTTGTTCATAGTATGATTACTCGGTCCGAGCGAGATGCATCCTGATCATCGAAGTGACTCCCTCCGCCGTACGGAAATATCATCACACATTTTTATGTAAATTTAACATAAAAAAAACAACTACATAAACCGTTATCCTCGAAGGCGTGCATATCTACGATCCTAAAATAGAAAGGTCCGCAATGTACTGAACTAAAAAACTTATAAAAAACAGCTTTCTAAGAAAACGCCCGCATGCATTTTCCCACCGTTCTCCTATATAAAAGATGTTGTAAACGAGCACTTATGTATGTATGACCACAGTTTTTGTGCTTTTGCCAACTGCCCATTCGCCTGTTTTTAACAATATCCGTCCTTAGCCCATATATCTGGCCCTGGGCAACAACTGCTGCCTCAGTGGGTAGCTGTGTCGGCCTCGGCGAGTAATGGTCGCGCTCGGTCTTGAGCAAAGAGTTGCAGACAAAATCGTGGCGGAATTCTGCTAGAAGTTATTGTATTTTTAGAAACAATGCTTGGAAATTTAGTGTGGGAGTTTATTTGAGAGCAAAATATAAAAATATTAAAAAAGCATATCGAGTGTAATTTACATATATTATGAAGCCGGCTATACCCATGGCATAATAAAAAGGTGAGGTAACAGAGGCAGATGTTTCTGTTCATTTTCAGACATTGTTTTATGCCTTATAATCACGGCAACCCAAAAATTGATCTAATAAACGTCTTTTTGCACAATAAAATTGCCTATAAATTTGTATATTTTGCACCTAAAATTGCTCTTATAATTTATCTGCCCAAATACTTATTAAACAATTCAAACTGCATTTGACTTATTTGTAATATTTTTATTCAGCTCAAGGTAAACAAAAACAAGTTCATATTCATTCGCAGATAACCTCAAATATTTAAAGTCTATAACTTAAAAGCAGGATCCGAGAACAAAAGGTGTGATCGAAACTAAATGTCGTTCTCGTAGTTTTGTTCCCAAGAAGGCCTCAATACCAAAACCAAAATGAGAACAAAACTGTCGAGAACGTTATCAATGGGAATTACCTATATAAGAACAAAACTTTGTGGAACGTTTCCAAAGAGCACAAAATGCGAACAATACTTTCGGGAACATTTTTAAGAGAACAAAATGGGAACAAAAATCTCCGGAACTTTTTGGAAAAGAGCCAAACGGGAACAAACGTCTAATAAACTTTCTCTCGAAGAACAATTTGGGAAAACTAAAGTCTCAGGAAATTTCTTACAGAGAACGAAGTTGGAACAAATCTTCTCTGAACTATTCGCGAAGAATGGAAGCTAGAACAAATTTTTCACAAAAGTACTGCAAGATTATTATGCAAATTAAGTCAACGAAAGACTTAAGACGCGAACTTTTCTTGCACAAAAAATGAAAAATTTTTCCATAAATGGAAAGATCACCCTAATGATAAACGCACTAGAAGTTGAAATGAACCAGACTTCCACTGGCTTAGAATTAACAATCGTCGTTCTCACTGAAATGATTTTACATCCCAACACGCAAGCTCTCCTCTCATTCTTAACGTTAAGTGTTCTGGTTTTGTTCTCTAACAGAACACACCCCAGACTTTGGTTCTTATTTGATCCTCCTTGAAAACGTTACCACTACTTTCGATCTCATTTTGTTCTCATTGGAAAGTTACGTTCTCATTCTGTTCGTTTTGAGAACGTTCCAAGAGAGTTTTCTTCGCATTTTGTTCTTTGCGGAAACGTTGCTAAACCTTTCGTTCTAAACCAAAACTGGAGCGCATTCTCGGTCCCTGCTTAAAAGGAAAAACCATAAAAAAGGAGAACATTCTCTCCACTTCAACGGACGTGATCGGAGCATATTTAAAAGCACATATTTCTTCAATGCTGTATATCAAATTGTTACCAGCTGTAATAGTTTTTCCTGAAATTTGTTAAGCAATTCCTTTCATTGGCTGTTTTAATATTTTTTAGTTCCACTGGGGCTCTAACAACGTGTAAATGTGTTTCAAAGTATTTGGCATAGTAGTTAACTGCTTCCAGCCTTGTACACCAGCGCGTTTTAATGGGCTCTGAAAGTAATGGAGGCTAACCGGCCTTAAAAGGAGCCACTCGTGATGGCGCCTTCACAAACACTTTTTGATACTGGTCTACTTGTTGATTGCTTCCGCGAATGTTCTCACATACTCTATGGCGGGCTATTTATGAGCAAGGCAAGCTTGGCTAATTGCCTGATTAACTTCCCGTCTGAACATAGTATTGCACAACAATTTGACAACTACAGTATAATGTGCTTAATTGCACGCACTTCTTCAACAAGAAAAGTAATGCAATTAACTTTAATGTTACATGAGTATATTTATGAGTTTAAGAATAATTTACATGTAAATACATATTTGGGTATATATGTATGTATGTACATTAGACTGCATCACCAAAAAATGTGGCGGTTATTCCACCATGATTACAAAATTTATTATATTTGAAGACTTCCACCAAAATATTTCGGAAAAATATCAAGATTTAAGTAAGCTGGAGCTAAAAATAGTTTCTTAAACGATTTTTGAAAAAAATCCCCTCAGTTGACAAAACAATTTAAGCTTAAAAAATATGCATAAAAATATTAAACAATTTTGAACGGAATCATAATAATGAGATTTTTAATGCTGTTTTTTAACCTTTTTCAAAGGGTGAGAACATATCTTTTCAGTGATACCTCAAAAGATTTAATGAGTAAATTTTTGGCTAAACTTTGGAAAAAGTTCAAAAACAGCATCAAAAATCTCATTATTATTATTCCGCTTAAATTTTTTTTTTATATTTTGTAAAAATTTTTTAAGCTTAAATTTTTTTGTCATACTTGAAAAAAAACTATTTTTATTCATAAAAAAACTCCAGCTTACGTGAATCTTAATATTTTTCCGAAATATTTTGGCACAAGTTTTAAAATATAAAAAATTTCATAAAAGTTTTTATGATTGCAATGGAGAAACAAAACCGATTTTTTTTTTGTATGGGGAGTGATCCAATCTAATGTACATATGTATGCTTGGTGCGCTGTTGAATATGAGCATGTGCGATATACATACATGTGTACATACATTTGTATGAAGATAGCGCGATAAAAAAGGTGTAAAACATTGTAGGGCAATAAAATTATTGTTTTTGATACAGAAACAGAAAACTTGATCAGTCGAAATAAGGATATTAAACTAAATGTGCTATTATTTGCCTTGCAAGTAAATTAAAACAATGAATTAAAAACCGAAATTTTTTCAAGTTAGTTGGAATCATCTCTGATGTGCAATAAAGTGTAGGTACATATTCTCCATTATCTTGTCAAGGTATGTCCATATACTATACCTACAAGGC